ATCCTGCTGTAAAGGGGCCTATAGCAGGCCAAGCAGTTACATAAATGACCACACAAGGTCTCACGTGCTAAGTGCTAAATGTGTCATATCTAACTCCACCCTTTCCTTGCTCCCAAATCTAGCAGTCACCAAGTTCAGCTCAAACTTTGGCGGACCTGGGAATTGCCCTAGAAGTCTTTCCCTGAATTCACCTCTGTACCTCAGACTAGCTCAGGTTCTGGTTAACACATGGTCCAAGGCCCTAGCCTCTCCTGCAGCCAAGCTTACTTACCTCTTTCACCCAAACTTTCACCCACTGACAGTCAGCATCCGTAACCTCAGTTCCAGTACTAATTCCTAAACTCAAATATTGTGTCTGCTCTCTAACGACTCCAGAACAAATTTCAAATCCTCCACCATGGAAGCAGGTGTGGTGGTACACACCTGTAATCCCAGCCGCAAGGGAGGCCAAGACAGGAGGATCATGGCAAGTCCAAAGTGTGTATCAAGACCCTGTACCTCCCCCTCAAAAATTCCTCTACCAGGCACTCAAGGGCCCTGGTCTTGCTTCAATCTTCACTCAGTCTTACCTTGTGTGATTCTCTCTTGAAATACCCTGGGAGCTCACCCATCTCCACATCATGCCCTACCTCCAACCCCTTAGCCCCACAGTAGCAAATCTGTGGTACACCAGGCATGTAAAGTCCTATCTGTCCTGTTAGCACTGCAGCCAAGATGCCCCAGCAGCCAAGTATCAGGTAACAGTTATGTTTTCTTTTCTTTTTTTCTTTTTTTTTTTTTTTTGGCAGAACCAGGGATTGAACTCAGACCCTTGCAGCTTGCCAGGCAAGCACTTATTCTACTGAGCCATCTCCCCAGCCCAAAACTAAAATCTTAGTATTCAGCGTAATTGCAGTGTTGGCATTTTGCAATAAATAAGTGGGTTTTCGGGTTGTAGTTTGGGTACTTGATCTCTAAAAGGTTTTCCCTCATGGCCCTAGGCTCTGCTGATTCTTCTCCCAGCAATGCCTTCCCCAACCTCTTCTTGAAAACATTCCTACCTAAATGTTAAAGTCTAACTCAAATGCCAACCCCTTCACAGCCTCCCCGTGACACAAAAGACAAGGACACTCTCTCCTTCCTCTGACTCATCAACATTCTGTGCCCCTATGGCTGGCACCCACATTATATAGTAGCAGAGATTAAGTTCTTAAGCTCTGGGATAGGACTCTTGAGAATGCTAGCTAAGCACATTCGCCTTCTGAAATAGACTGGTGGGATGCTCAGTTCTGCAGAAAATAGGTCTTGTGTGTGTGCAAAAATGTGCACTTGTGGGGGGGCAGTGCTCAGAGAGGTATACTGAATGTTCCACAAAGGTAGTGGAGTCCAGCATGGTGGCATCTACCTGTAATCCCAGCATTTGGTAGGCTGAGACAGGTACATCGCCACAAGTTCAAAGGCAGCCTGGGCTACACGAGGAGCTCAAGGCCAAAGCCAAAAAGCGAGTGGAGAAATACAGCTCAGCAGCACAGTGACTGCCTGGCATGCACAATGTCCTGAGTTCAGTTCCTCGTACCAAAAAAAAAAAAAAAAAAAAAAAAAAAAGAACAGAGCACAGAATCTGGAACCTGAGTGTGACTGCTTGGGTTCAAATATAGCTTTACAACCTGGGAATGGTGGCACACGCCTGTAATCCCAGCACTCTGGAGGTTGAGCCAGGAGGATCTCTGGGAGTTCAGGACCAGCCTGGGGGATACAAAAAGTGAGCATAAGGCCACCCAAATTGCAAAGTGAGACCCTGTCTCAAAAAAACAAAAAAATAACTTTATCTCTTTCTCTATTTTTTTTTTTTTTTAAAGGTCCAGGGACCTTGCACTTGCCAGGCAAGCACCTATGCAACTGAGCTATAATCCTGGCCCCAGCCTTACCTCTTAGCAGCTATGCGACTCTAGGCAAATTACTTAACCTCTCTAGGTCTCAGTTACCTCCTTTGAAAAGGGACAGTACTCAAGTTGCCTACTGTGAGGACCACATGAATATTGGTATGTAAAAGCACCAAGATCCATGCCTGGTACACAGTCAGTACAAACCAGTGTTCACAGCTACTCTTATTAGCAAAGCCCAGAGAAGGGGCTTTCCAGGGCTAGCACAGGACTGACAGGACCTAAGAAAAATACAGTCCCCAAACCATAGCTGCTTTCCAGGTCTGTTTCCCATGTGCAGTTGGGAGGCAGATGAGGCAGGTGACCAGCCCCATTTTACGGCTGTGGATCTGAAGCTCACTTAGGAAGAGCACCAGGGAAGAAGTCACAGGAACTATTTGGCTTCTATCCGTGCACTGCTCCTGCAGGCCTCACACAGTAGCCAGCACCGCACCACCACCACCACACACCATGCTGGTAGACCCAAATACAGCGCCTCTTTCACTTCATGTACATTTGCCAGCCCACAGATCGGCCATAGTACAGGTTGTGCTTGTGTCCCTACAAAAGGGCCCAGGCCCCAAAGGTGAGGAAAACCTGTTCTAAGGAATCTGCCTAGTGAGCGAATTCCGTTTGAGGCCCTTCTACCTTCCACTGTCACCGGAGTGGGGCTGAGTGTGCGTCACAGATACCCAAAGGGGGGGGCAGGGGGAGAGAGGGTGAGGCGGGAGGAGGAGACTAAAAATTTCACATTTCTTTTTTTCCATTTCAGTGACAAAAGTCACACCCAGCTTTTACATAAACATGTCCAAGAAGCCACTCTGTCTAAGCTCACTTCCCTTGCAGGCGCCAGTAGTCTCCTCCCAATGACCCTGACACTTGCGAGAGGGGCAGGCATGCCAGACCCTGCAAAAGACAAGCTGTGCCACCCAACAACACGCATGCCTCCTGCCTGCTGCCCTTGCTTTGCCCCATGTTTATCTCTGCACCTTCCAATAACATCTCCTCAGCAACCCCATACCACCACTTACACCCACAGAAGGTAGGGACACATACACAGCTTGCGGCTGGTCTCTTGAGTCCAAGGCCCACATTGCCCTTGTCACGCTACCTTCCTTCCCACAAGTGTCTTCTGACCAGCTTGACTCCCAGCCCAACAGCTCAGACAGGCTGCCACAAAAAGCGTCACAAACGAATCCAATGGAGAACGTTGCAAACACACAACGGTCCCCTTGCTTGGCTGTCCATGTCCCACAAATACAATTTGCACAAAAAAACAGTGCCAGTTGACCCACAGGCAACAGACACACCCTGGCGATCAGAAGGATCCGAGTTCTAGACATGCAGCTCCCATACAACTCTCTTATCCAGACACACAAACCTATCCGTCTCCCTGTCCATGCCACAGTCCACAGTTGGACCACATACTTCAACACTGCCACAGAAATGGGACCAAGACTTGCTATCTTCTAACTCAAAGGCCCACAACCGTCTCCTCCAAATAGACACATATGCCCTGCATTCCAGAGCCCTCCATAACACTACACCACACTAGCTATGCAGAAAACAGTTGCTCATAAACAGTTCATATGTGTACCCCAAAGACATACCTGCAAAAAAAAAAAAAAAAAAAAAAAAAAAAAAAAAAAAAAAAAAAAAAAAAAAAAAAAAAAA